AAAAAGTAAATGTAATAGAAAAAAATGTTTTTGTATGAATGATCACTAATTCACTTGTAAGATCTTCACTCACTGCATTTTTGCCACAGGAAAGATTTCGAGATCAGCCAGCTCAACGGTAAGATTGAAGATGAGCAAGCACTAGCAGCCCAGTTACAGAAGAAACTGAAAGAGCTGCAGGTGAGGTGCAAAACACTTATGCTGATTGAAAGTTTATAGCTGATTTGTTCAACAAGAGTCTGTATTGCTCACATTGTACTTGATGTGGTAGGCCCGTATTGAGGAACTTGAAGAAGAGCTGGAGGCAGAGAGAGCCGCCAGGGCCAAGGTTGAGAAACAGAGGGCAGATTTATCAAGAGAACTGGAAGAGATCAGTGAGAGGCTGGAGGAGGCTGGTGGAGCCACTGCTGCCCAGATAGAAATGAACAAGAAGAGAGAGGCTGAGTTCCAGAAACTGCGCAGAGACCTTGAAGAGGCCACTCTGCAACATGAAGCCACTGCTGCTACACTGAGGAAGAAACATGCTGACAGTGTGGCGGATCTGGGAGAACAGATTGACAACCTTCAGCGTGTGAAGCAGAAGCTTGAAAAAGAGAAGAGTGAACTCAGACTTGAGCTGGATGATGTGGTTTCCAACATGGAGCAAATTGTCAAGTCCAAGGTAAGCATAATGGTCTTTTTCATATATGTTTATCTTTACTATTGCATTTTTAATGTATATTCTCTGTTTCAGACAAATTTGGAAAAAATGTGCAGGACTCTAGAGGACCAGATGACTGAGTACAGAACTAAATACGAAGAAGGACAACGCAGCATCAATGACTTGAGCATGCACAAAGCTAAACTCCAAACTGAGAATGGTAAGGACTAAAATAAAATGGAGTGTGTATTAAACATAAGGTCACAACATACAAACATTTGAAGTACCGTAATCAACCTGTAATCAAGGTGAACTTGCAAGACAGCTGGAGGAGAAGGATTCCTTGGTCTCTCAGCTGACCAGAGGCAAGCAGTCCTATACGCAACAGATTGAGGACCTCAAGAGACAACTTGAAGAGGAAGTGAAGGTATTTCTAGTATTTGAGTTACCAAATCATTTAACCTGGCAATACATTATGTGATCATATGCAGTGAACGAGATATTGGCCTGTCTCTTACAGGCTAAGAATGCCCTGGCCCATGCAGTGCAGTCTGCTCGCCATGACGCTGAATTGTTGAGAGAGCAGTATGAGGAGGAGCAGGAGGCCAAGGCTGAGCTGCAGCGCAGTCTGTCCAAGGCCAACTCTGAAGTGGCTCAGTGGAGAACCAAGTATGAAACTGATGCCATCCAGAGAACAGAGGAGCTGGAGGATGCAAAGTAAGAAATCACAAATCCAGTGACTTTTTATTTTTTCCTTTTAGCACTTCATCTTTACTATGGAGCATAATAATTTTCTTTTTTGTTTTTGAAATTAAAAGCTTTATTCACATTTTCTGAAACTTTTACCATCCTGTCACACAGGAAAAAACTTGCTCAGCGTCTGCAAGATGCAGAGGAAGCTGTGGAAGCTGTCAATGCCAAATGCTCCTCTCTGGAGAAGACCAAGCACAGACTCCAGAATGAAATAGAAGACCTCATGGTTGATGTAGAAAGATCCAATGCTGCTGCTGCAGCTCTGGACAAGAAGCAAAGAAACTTTGACAAGGTGATAAGGTGGTCCCTTGGGGATCAATACAGCCATTCATACATCTATCTGTCCATACCCTTATCCATCTATCTAGTCATCTGTCTGTCTGTCTAACATTTGGCAGTGCCCTTAGTTCAAAGGCCACTTATCCCAAACATGTTTTTGTTGGAATTGAACAGGTTCTTGCAGAGTGGAAGCAGAAATATGAAGAATCTCAGAGTGAGCTAGAGAGCTCCCAGAAGGAGGCCAGATCTCTTAGCACTGAACTCTTCAAACTGAAGAACTCTTATGAGGAGTCTCTTGATCACCTGGAGACTATGAAGAGGGAGAACAAAAACCTCCAAGGTATCCATGTTTATTTCAAAGGTCTGAAACAGTGGTGGGGTTTTTAGCATACACTGACAGGTATCTTTCCTGACAAACAGAGGAAATTTCTGACCTGACTGAGCAAATTGGGGAGAGTGGAAAAAGCATCCATGAACTGGAGAAAATTCGTAAACAGCTGGAGCAGGAAAAGGCCGAAATCCAGTCTGCTCTTGAAGAGGCTGAGGTACCTTATTATTATTTGCAGACCTTTCAGATTCTGCAAGTACAGACATGGATCCCATCTACGTAAAATCTCAATGATGATGTAATAAAATTACATTGTAAATGGCTGTTTGTTGTGATCTAATAGGCCTCCCTTGAGCATGAAGAAGGAAAGATCTTACGGGCTCAGCTGGAGTTCAATCAAGTGAAGGCTGATATTGAGCGAAAGCTGGCGGAGAAGGATGAGGAGATGGAGCAGTCCAAGAGGAACCACCAGAGAGTGGTGGACACCCTACAAAGCTCTCTGGAGTCTGAGACTCGCAGCAGGAACGAAGCCCTCAGGATAAAGAAGAAGATGGAGGGAGACCTTAATGAGATGGAGATCCAGCTCAACCAGGCTAACAGGCAGGCAGCAGAGGCACAGAAGCAACTCAAGAGTCTCCATGGGCATCTGAAGGTACGCACCACATAGCGTAATGTCTGTGTTCATGTTAATATCAATGTCTCTCATTATTTGTGAGATTATAAAATGTATTCATTGGGAGCTTTTGCCTTCTAGGATGCCCAGCTCCAGCTGGATGATGCTCTCCGTGGTAATGATGATCTCAAAGAGAACATCGCTATTGTGGAGAGACGCAACAATCTGCTGCAGGCTGAACTGGATGAGCTGAGATCAACATTGGAGCAGACTGAGAGAGGCCGGAAACTGGCAGAGCAGGAACTTCTGGACGTCAGTGAGAGGGTTCAGCTGCTGCACTCTCAGGTAATCTATAGATTTCAATTATTGCTATAATGAAAGATCTATATTAAGTTACAGATTCAATATAAACACCTCTAATACAATCTCTAATACAGAACACCAGCCTGCTGAACCAGAAGAAGAAGCTGGAGGGAGACACAACTCAACTTCAGACTGAGGTAGAGGAGGCTGTCCAAGAGTGCAGGAATGCTGAGGAAAAGGCCAAAAAAGCCATCACTGATGCTGCCATGATGGCAGAGGAGCTGAAGAAGGAGCAGGACACCAGTGCTCACTTAGAGCGCATGAAGAAAAACATGGAGCAGACCATCAAAGACTTACAGCATCGTCTAGATGAAGCTGAACAAATTGCAATGAAAGGTGGCAAGAAGCAGCTCCAGAAACTAGAGGCCAGAGTGAGTAAATAAAATTGCTTTATATACATTGTATACTTTTAAATACATTAGATAAATATACATTATATACATTTTATATGTTCCTTTGCAGGTCAGGGAGCTGGAAAATGAGGTTGAGATAGAACAGAGAAAGGCCAGTGAATCTATAAAAGGAATCCGCAAATATGAGAGACGCATTAAGGAGCTCACCTACCAGGTTTTTCTACTTTTTAACATGCTTTGTCGTTTTGAAAATATATATAAATGATAGAAATGAGAAAAGACTGTTCCCATGATTCTATTTGCAGACTGAAGAAGACCGTAAGAATCTGACTCGTCTCCAAGACCTAGTAGACAAACTTCAGCTGAAAGTCAAGTCCTATAAGAGAGCTGCAGAAGAGGCTGTAAGTGTATAATATTACTTATGCATACAGAGGGGGCACAATGAACTTTTTTGACTCATCTGCCAGTGAGAGGAAAACTGAGTAAATGTATCTGTCCAAATTACAAAACATTTTAATGGTCATAAAATTGCATTCTTTTTATAAAAACAATTAGCTGAAGGGCTTTTTTTAGCAAGCTTAAGCTTATCTTTAAAGTTTACCTTTAAACTAACTTTGCAGACCAAATTATGAACAGATAAGTTATAGTTCACTAAAATACCACTTCACACAAAAATGTCAAGCCCCTCAGTGACTTTATCTTCAACATTAGCACATAAAAATAAATCTGTTATTTTATGACAGAAAATACCTTTTAGTCTGAGGGAAATGACCAGTTACACTAAAGTTTTCCAATGTGGCAAAAGTCATGAGAATCTGCACAACAGCTAATCAATGGCATATTCTTTAGTAGGCTGCATGTATTTCTTTGATCCTTGTGTACTTTCAGTGGGTATGATCCAGTGGGTCATATTATCAGTCTACACAGTAATTCATGCCTTGAATTATGTTGCAGTTTGTAAGTGCTGGCCAGTGACTGCATTTTTTTTTTAAAGCAAATATTTTTCTTGTATTTGCATCGTAGTAAATGTATCAGCGGTCATATTTTTGGATTTTGTATGTGTGTACTCATTTTTCAGGAGGAGCAGGCCAATGTCCATCTAGGCAAGTTCCGCAAGCTGCAACATGAGCTGGATGAGGCACAGGAGAGAGCTGATATTGCAGAGTCTCAGGTCAACAAGCTGAGAGCCAAAAGTCGTGATATAACTAAAGTAAGTTCACATTAGCACAACTTTCTTATTTATTTTTAATGAACATAGTTAAAAACAAAATTTGCTTTAAGCTATTGTTTGGTATCAGATACGTTTGACAGTATTGCTCTCCTAGTGGCAAAAATATTTTGTTTTGATGCTAAATACAAATAAAGTTATGGATTTTTAAATATTCCATAATCAATTTACAATCCTTAACAACCACTGGAGGAAACTTGTGGATGTTTAGAGCTTTTACAGTTGTTCAGTTAAAATTAATATAAAATAAATATTTCACTCAGAGCAGTAGCCCATGGTATAGAGCCAACCCTTTTTTCTAAAATTACCTCACTAAATCAAGGCTATAGACTGAGGGCTTAAAACTGAAAAAAGGAGCCCTGCCTAATCAACTAAGAAGTTCCTACACCCACCCTCTTTTTTGTCTTTTCCTCTCACAGAAAGGACATGATGAAGAGTGAAGTAATCACTTTTGTGTCTCAGAAATCTCAGATCACTGTGGTTTAGTTCTTCTTCTTGACTTCAACATCTGTAGGTGAATAGAATAAAAATTACTGTGCAAATAAACCTTTTGCTTTGCTGTGTCTTCTGTTTTAACAATGCAATGCCATGTATTTTGATTCAGGTAAGAGCAATATTGTGAGTAAAAACTGTTTATAGATGTAAATGATAAAATGTATACCACAGATATAAAACTAGCATTATTTGTTAGGATTGTAGTAATACTACAAAACATTATTTAAATTACTGATGTACTACAGTACCAGATGTACTGCTGTACCTAATAAAATATAAGCCATTTAAATTGTCAGTTATTTGATGTTTTGTAGGTGTAAAATCAGATCACTGTGGTAACTATCAAAAAATTCAAGAAGCCCAAGACCAGAACCTAGACATTACACACATTCAAGAGATAAAAAAGTCTTGCCCAAAATATAGTGCCTAAATATATATTACTTGAGAATATTTATATATTTCACAGGTAGAATATACTTCACAGGAAGAAATAACTACTGATAACTACTGATTTCATGTGAAATGTTCAATTGTTAAATTTATGAATGGATGGGTGTAATAATGTGAAATGAGAGTTATGCTATCGCTGCAAGTGGTAACATTGGTACTTATTTTGTTATAAAGGTGAACAAAGGGTTGAAAAATACTTAACAGATAAGTTTATCAGTAGAGCTCTGGAAAAATGTACAAAAAAAAAAGTCTTCCTGAATGTTTTAAAGATTTATCTGCCATACATTTGCAAAGAATGGAAGAAAACGGTGCCTAAACAGCTAATGTAAAATTTATATTACAAACAAAATGCCAAAAAACATGCAGAAGGCATCAAAAATACAAATTTGCAAGCATGCAAATTAGTCAGCAAATAGTGGCCAAATTAAAACACAGTTAGAAAATCTAAAATTTTCAATCACAATTCTATTAGTAGAGAACAAAGGCCCCTAAAAGTTGACATACTCCCACTTGAGGTAGAACAAAGCACAAACATGTTTTTATATAACTTTGATAACTGCTAGTTTGTGAAATGAATGGTTATATAAAATATTTTACTGCAAAAGTTGTGTAATTCATTAATATTTGGATGCTCCCCAAAACCAGACAATGTGCAAATTTAGGCCTGGCTTAAAGGGAGAGTGTCTGCATTATCCCTTCTATTTCAGAAAATAAAATTCACAATGTGGCCAACTTTAAAAAGACTGTGCACAAACAAATACTTTATATCCTACAGAAAGGATTATACACTTAATCTTCACCCAGTAACCAATGTGCACTGACTACCGATTAAAATGTTTAACACTAAACACAGATTTACACAAATCCTTGAAACAATTGTAATTCTAGGACTTATGACAGAACAATAGAAATAATAGTTGTTCATCATTCAATACATTCTGTGAAAAATACTAAATGATAATTATAAATAAATAAATAAATAAATAAAGTGAAACATATGAAATGCGAAAAATACAGGCCAATAAAAAAATCATTTCACATTTCAGCATCAAACATCAGCATATTGTCGTTTTTTTATAGTTCTTATATATCTGTCATTTAATTTATTATGAATGTGTTAAGCTATTTAACATTATTCTTGTTAATTTTTTAAACAATCCTGAAACCAAACATGTAAGTGTCACTGTGGTGGTCTGAATGGTCCGTCACCTAAATAATATCTGGTCAGCCGTGATGCTATGGTCCATTGATGGCTTTAGCCGTGGAGGGTTGGGTAAGAGTGCCTGATAAAAGTACTGTATGGCCAAAACTATGTGGACATCCCCTCTAAATAGTAGGTTTAGCTATTTAAGCCACACCTGTTACTAACAGATGTATAAAATCAAGCACATATCCATGCAGTCTCCACAGACAAACATTCTAAGTAGAATGGGTTGTACAAACCTTTGAAGTGGCACTGTCACCAAATGTCTTTTCATCAAGCTTGTTGTCAAATTTCTGCCTTGCCTGAGCTGCTCCAGCCAACTGTCAGCACTGTTACTTTGAAGAGGAAGGGTCTACAAGCAAAACAACAGCTCAGTGGTGGGCTGCATAAACCCAAACCACCTCTGGAAGCAACTTTAGCACAAGAACCGTTTGTTAGCAGCTTCATGGATGGTTTCTATAATGACTACAGCAGCATAGCAGCAGAACATAAGCCTAAGATGGCCATGCACAATGGGGAACATCAGCTGGAGCGGTGTAAAGCATGTCACTACTGGACTCTACTGTGAATTCGTTTTCTGGAGTGATGAATCATGCATCACCATCTGGCAGATGAATTCGGGTTTGGTGGATGCACGAGAACAGTGTCAACTGCAAAATTTGGTGGACAAGGAATAACTGCCTGGGACTTTTTCATGGTTGTAGCCTCAGTTCCAGTGAGGGGAAATTTTGATGGCATAAATTAAAATTCTAGAGAAACCACGTGCTTCCAGTTTATGCCAACTTTGCCCACTTTATATTATTTCTGAGTCCCTTAGAATAGTAAAATTGTATACAATAATAATAATAATAATAATCATAATAATAAGCTTGTTTTCAAACAATCTGTTACATCAATAATCTATGGTTAATTATTCAGAAACAGTTTTAATTATAGAGGTAATATAAAATTATTTACTGTCAGGAAATAGATTCAATATGTAAGATCAAAGCAAAGTTAAATTAGTTTTACACTGAACCATACATTAAACAGTTCTAAGATTAAGCCTGTTAGTTTTATATGTCTAGTTAGTTGACTATATTCTTAGGAAGTAGAGGCACACTATTATAGTCTGATCAGCCCAGAGGCATAAGAGATCTAGATATAAAGGAATTACTTACATTACTGTAACAAAGGTTAACATGTTGTTTAACATTTGTGAGCAAATTGGAAATGACATTTAGTAGCAAACAAAAAAGCATCTGTCTAATTTCAAATGCTATAAAATTAAATACTGTAGTAATACAAACATCACCATGAAAAGAAATTGCCTGAAGGAATGCCTGTTTTTATTTGCTTATTCTTTTCATCTAAAAAACGGGCATGATGAAGAGTGAAGCAATTATAGGTAGAATTTGATAAACTAAAACTATATTACCTACAGTTTTGGGAACCTTTTTTTTCCCATTTCTTTCTTCCTAGATAAATTGAGGCAAAATTTCAACATGGTTATTTTTTATTCAAAAAGACAATATCTGCAAATGTAAGAGTAAAATACTTAAAATTGTACAAAAACAACTGGTTTTAATCATGAACAACAATGTCTGCAAAACATTGTTTAACATTATTTATTTTAGTACCAGTTCTTATCACCTTTCAAATTAAACAAATTTTCTGTGAAACTGCAGAGGTTAGACAATCTTGAGCACACTCAACTCTCAAACTTCAGCAATGCAAGTCATAAAGCAGCTGGGTTATTAAATACTGAAAAACATACACGTCCACAGTCCTCCACAGAAATTGTTTTATAACTGTTTCAGGAAATTCTTTTGCAGGCAAAGTGCATCATGCTAGCCATTTTCATTTATATTCATATTATCATATATAATGCCCTAAACCAGCCATTTATTACAGCAGATCGAAGGTGTTAGAAATGGCAGAATACATAATAATGGTATAAGATCATTAGTTAACATAGTAATAAGGTTAATAAGTTAATGTTTATAAAAGTGTCCCATTACCTGTATTCATCCAAATGCATCTTATTAAAATGGAAAGAAGGAACACCTACCTCATAAAATAAAGAGCTTAGGAGTGTCTATGAGTGCTCTGCTGGTGGGTGGGTAGATGCATACCATAAAAGGCATGATGCACCTTTGCTGGCCAACGTAGGTCTCCACAGACAACTTTCTCCAGGTTATCTTATTCTGTGGATGGAAGATACAACATTTCTGTTAGTTCGCCATCTGTATATCCTGAAATACATAAATATGAAAAAAACACAGGCAAATGAACTTAGATGTTACAAAATCTCTGTAACAATATGTGCTTTACAACATGTGAACTGGTTATTTGACAGTTGGCTCATCTACTTACAAAAACGAGAGTTCCTCCTTTCAACTGCAAAGGGCCCTTGTCTGCAATGAAAGCACATTTGTATCAGGGACACATAGACTTGTTGGATGCCCTGAAGGCTACTGTAGGCTGACCTGCTTTGGTGTGGCTCAAGGTGATGAGAAGGCCAGCAGGATGGTGTTGATTAGAGGAGGAGTCTACATTGAGCAGCTGAGAATTGGAGGACGTTAAAAGGTTCACCAAGCATCCAGCAACCCTGCAACCTTAAACCACACCACAGAGTACTTGGGCTATATTAGGAGTTCAATTGTTGGCTGAGGGGCCCACAAGGTCTGTGAAGTGCCAAAGAGGCTTTAGAGAAAGAATCATCTTTAAGTGATGGAGAAATAAGAACCGACTGGCATTTATGCCAAACTTCAACTTCTTATCTTAGAAAGACAAGTTACCTCAGCATCTATTTTGTCTCATCAAATGTATAAAAAGGTACACATAGTACAAATATATATACATACAAGCACTGTAGGAGCTATAGTTACTATGTAGATTACTGTCCAAGTTTTCCTTGTCCACATTATTTAGCCAAAATAATTATATGAATAAAAATGTTTTTTTTAACTGCATCTTTACCGTTTCAACCTATTTAGCTGATTAAGTAGGCTAATATTATAAACTTAACTTCTGACAGGAGCTGCATTGTTTTCCCTCAGTTGGCCATGAAACGTAAGACGAGTCTATAAAGACCATAAGAGTGCCAACATCTATGACTAGATACTTTTATTTATGTGCCTGGAGACCTTTACAAGTGGAGCATCTGCTCTAGTCCTACAGGGCCCATGCTAGCTGTGCTTCTCAATCAGAGAGAGGCACTCAACAGGAATTTCACAGGGTTATCTTTGTACTCAAGGACAATGGGAAGGAAACACTGTGTGTGGCGTAAACAAGACTGTGGTCAGCCAACAGATATTCATACACATATGTATTAATACATATATATTTTAGAATATAGCTTGTAACTTCTGAGGATTATTCAAAGAAATTAAGTAAATTAATAACACATCAAAATGTTTTCTCTCTGCAGTCTCAGTAACAACATCACATATTGTTTTGGAAATACTACAATGCTCCCTATACATTCAGATTAGACAACAAGGTTGTGCATGCATGTGATTTGATCTTAAGTCTTTCTACCATTTCTCTGTGCTGAATCACTACATTGTGTCTGGTGGCAACAAACCCCCAGGGCAATCAACCTCATTATTATAAACTGAGTCTGCTGAGTGAATCTTATTTCAAAGACCTTTACGTACCCCAGTCTAGAGTTCAGGGGTTAGACATTTAACACCTTTCCGTTGTTGTGGTAGGTTAAAGAAAGAGAAAGGGAATGCAAACACAATTCACACTTATTGCCGTTAACTTGCACCTTGTACTGAGTTTCCTAACCTTTACCCTTCAACTGTCCACACTTAGTATGCCTTGCTGTTAATCTTCTAACCATTTACCACCCTGTAGTGTTGATGTGTGTGACACACTAAAGAGTCTAATGAGAAAAGGTCTGCATCTCAGCCCTTGGTGACACAAGGAGCTGTTAGAGGAGACAGTAAATAGTCAAAACAAGTCAAATGGTCCTTGACCTTGATCTTGTTTATTGATGCATTCTGAAAAAATCTCACAAAAAGAAACACCACCTTAACGTTTAATTTACACCATTCATACTTTTCATGTTATGTATGATATATACAGTCATCTGCAAAAGTTTGCATGCCCCTGGTCAAATGACAGTTTGTTGATTTTCTAAGTGAAAACAAATTAACATCCTCTACAGAGAACACAGTGCTGCATATTTAAATGAACAATAACTTTATTTGGTGAAACATACTGGAAATTTTATACTGTATGTTGTATTTTTTTTCAAAAATGTTATACTCAGCAAATGAAATAGATAATGAGCACTAAAAATTAAAGATTTGAAGAAAAAGTGTCACATTTGTTCCATGTAGTGAATGTTAACTTATTTTTAGTTAATCAACAGAACATGTAATTTGACAGCGAGTTCAAACTTTTCCATATGATTGTGTCATCCACATAAGCACCCCAACTACAAAGTGACTTTTTTATAAATGTAAAGCACTGCAAGTAAAATATTTGCCCTTGTGAACAGCATCTCTAGAGTAAAGGTCATATGCTCAAAAAGACAATGCAAAAATGGATGGGGTCAGATCGTACATGCTGTTCTTCTCAATGACTGAAAAGCACTTGGCATGAATTTCACGTGGTTATCTTTGTCCTCAATTGGAAAGACAAGGAAACAATGCCGTTTCAACGCCACAGGGCAGAGTGAAGCATTCACACCAGCTGGGGAATGACCTTGGTTGTGCTTTACCACTCAGAGACAGACAGCTGATGCCGCTCTCATATGGGCAAAAAGCACCTGTGACAGCTTGAATACACAGACACTTTGTTAATCCTTCAATCTAAATAAACATGGTATAGGATAACTCAAAGAGGTCAACTAAAAATAACTCCCATCACTTTTTGCTACTTTTCTCCTTTAGTTTTCTTGAGGTAATCAACCTGGCTTCATACCGATTTCCTGGTTCTCAAATCCAATATATTCTATCAATATCCTAAAACAATACATACATTTATAACTGCTAAAATCACTGCTACTTAAATTCTGAAATCACAGATTTAGTAACATTACATTTGAATACAAAATATTAACATACAGATAGCAAATGCATGCAATCCCCATTACTATCCATTTCAGACGTACTATCACGTCTCTGCATTTCTTTCCTCTTATGCATTACACAGTTGGCATGTGCATGGTTCTCTATTACCTCCCAGTGGACCCTTGCTGACATAAACTACAAGAACAAAAGAAACTGACCCCCCCACCATGCCGTCAGTAGTCGCACCAAACTGAGACACTACAATGCATCATATGGTGCCAGCAACCATATTTAGAGGACCCCTTGCATTATAAAAGGGCGAGAAGAGTGACAAACACAAGACTGGTTTTCAAGTGTGTCATCTATAGGTAAGCTGACAGGGAAGCCACAAACTCTCTAAACCCAAAGGGGAATGAAAAAAACATTCTTGAGGATACTACTGATTTACAGCTGCAAAAGAATTTGTGCTTCATATGTAGTGTTAATAATGTTCATTTCATTTTAGAAATAATGCATGAGATTTTTAGGAGTACTGTATACTTTAGATCCATACTGAGCTGTAAAGGTTATGTGACATATACATTAAATTAAATGGTTTATATTTTCTGTTTGTGTGGCGTTAGGGCATTACACCATCACATTTCTGGAAAGGAGAAACAGCAGAAGTGAGTCACTTAAATGCTAGAATTGTCAAAGACAATTTTATAGATCCGTCTGTCCTCAGAATACACAATTTTGCTTTCTTCAGAAGAATATGTGGCTAATTTCATAACACTTAATAGTAGTGTAGTGTAATAATTCTTACAATAATCTCAGGGTGAAAGATGGGAGATGCTCAGATGGAGGAGTTTGGGGCTGCAGCCCCATTCCTGAGGAAGTCGGATAGGGAGCGTCTGGAAGCCCAAACTCGCCCCTTCGACATGAAGAAGGAATGTTTCGTCCCTGATCCAGCAGAAGAGTTTGTCAAGGCATCTATCATCGGTCGTGATGGTGACAAAGTCACTGCCGAAACATCTAAGGGAACGGTAAGGAAAATAAACAATCCTATAAGATATGATTGACACTTTAATTCAGTAAAATTATTCCTCCCTCACTCCTGAAACTAAATAGGCCATTTGTAACTGAAATGTAACTGCACAAAGGCTAAAGAGTTTTAAATAAATGCTTTAATAACATAGCAAATAACATTAACAAAATGAACAGTATTCACAAACTGAATGTAGGTGTGAAGTTTAATCTTAATTGAAAGGTTAAAAGCTTAATTGGTTAAATATATTCACATGGTCTCTATAATGTACAAGACTTTACAGGGATGTTGTGTTGAATCTGCTACACATATAAAATGTAACATACTTTTGTCCACAGACTGTGACTGTCAAGGAGGCTGATATTCACCCTCAAAACCCGCCAAAGTTCGATAAAATTGAGGACATGGCGATGTTCACCTTCCTGCACGAGCCTGCTGTGCTGTTTAACCTCAAAGAGCGTTACGCAGCCTGGATGATCTACGTGAGTTAGACACGTGTAGTTCTTGATCTATACAGCTCTTCTGTATGTGTGAAAAAATAGTGAACCTAGATTTCTCTCTCTGTTTGTAGACCTACTCTGGGCTTTTCTGTGTAACTGTCAACCCCTACAAGTGGCTGCCAGTGTACAACCAAGAAGTTGTCCTTGCCTACAGAGGGAAGAAGAGGAGTGAAGCTCCTCCTCACATCTTTTCTATCTCTGACAATGCCTACCAGTACATGCTTGCAGGTATTCATAAATTAATCAAAACAAGAACAAACACAGTTTGAGACCTTAAAAAAAATAAAGTATAAACTGCAGCACTCCTAGTGCTAAATAACTACAAAAATTTATTTTCACAATAATTATCTGAAACTTATGAGGCTCAATGTTATGGTTTTACTTTTTTAACCGGTTATTTTTCCTCATAATGATTTAAAAATGTTTTTTAAATCTTTAGTGTAATGGTTGTGGTTATAGTGATTCATCCTTTGTGAATTCAGTGACATTTATATACATACATATCTTTTATTTCAGATAGGGAAAACCAGTCTATTCTCATCACGTAAGTTTGTGTTTTATCACAGTAAGCTATATTTATCAATATATTTTCAATATATACTCTCTTATGATGATTATTATTATTAAGACACATGTTCTGTATTGTGATACATAGTGGAGAATCTGGTGCTGGGAAAACTGTGAACACCAAGAGAGTCATCCAGTACTTTGCCAGCATTGCTGCTGGAGGTTTCAAGAGGGAAACCACTGATAAGAAGGTTGGAAAATCTATAGCTATTACATGGCTTCACTGGCCAATACATGGATAATTACTTTTCATAACAATATTTCCTTCTTGCTGTTTACCCAGGGTACTCTGGAGGATCAAATCATCCAGTGTAACCCCGCTTTGGAGGCTTTTGGTAATGCCAAGACCATCAGAAACGACAATTCCTCTCGTTTTGTGAGTGTTACAAAATGTTTACCGTTTTACTTTAGCAGGATTCAGCAGCCATATGTATCCTAATATTATGTGATACAATATTTAATTTATATCTACTTTTCTAACAGGGTAAGTTCATCCGAATCCACTTTGGTGCCACTGGAAAACTTGCCTCTGCTGATATTGAGACTTGTAAGCATTCTTTAAGTCGGCAAATCTTTTTCATTTGTAAAGATGTGAGAAGAGCACCTTTGGCTATCTAAATTATATTTGATTGTATTTGTAATACAGATCTTTTGGAGAAGTCTCGTGTCACTTTTCAGCTTAAAGCTGAGAGAGACTACCACATCTTCTACCAGATCCTGTCTCAGAGGAAACCTGAGCTGTTAGGTCAGCAGAAGATATATACACTACCAATTTAAATTCCATTACACCTGTGTTAGAAGAAATATGTCTAGAACATATATCTCTTCTCTTTCTCACAGAAATGCTGCTGATCACTGCTAACCCCTATGACTATGCCTTCATCTCTCAAGGAGAGACCCAAGTAGCTTCTATTAATGATGCAGAGGAGCTGATGGCCACTGATGTATGTATCAACAGAGCTATCCATGTTCTCACATTTTCATCTGTATATCCTGAAGTCATCTTAAGAACTGGAATTCCTTCAGTGACATTAGACAGACATTGTGTTTTTGTTCTAGGAAGCCTTTGATGTGTTGGGCTTCACCCAAGAGGAGAAAAACAGCATCTACAAGCTGACTGGTGCCGTCATGCATTTTGGCAACATGAGGTTTAAGCAGAAGCAGAGAGAGGAGCAGGCTGAGGCAGACGGCACTGAAGGTAAGTATAGATACATCAAATAAATATTTGCATTTAGGTGAAATTCATCCCACATTTTAAAAATGATTCTTTATGGAAAACATAATGTGCTATCATAAATACTAAATCACAAATGGAAATTCTTTTTAGTCTGGACCTGGGAGATTGGCCCTAATGTTATGTGATTACTTTTTGCATTTTAATCTTAACAAATGGCTTCAAGTGTCTTATTGTATACCTATAGACGTCTTAGTGTAGGTTTTTGCTAAAACACACATGTAGCAAACTCGAAATTTCTCAGTTAGTCTTAAATTTCCACCATTTGAGTGTTCTCTGATGCAGCAGAGTATGTCTCAGGAACATGACATGATACTCAGATATTACTTGATGACTGAACAATGGTAACTATTATTTCCAGATGCAGACAAAGCAGCTTATCTGATGGGTCTGAACTCTGCGGATCTCATCAAGGCTCTGTGTCACCCGAGAGTCAAAGTAGGAAATGAGTGGGTTACCAAAGGACAGAATGTACAGCAGGTCAGAAATACATACAAACTGGATACATGCAGTCTAGAAGACTATGAAATGAATACTTTGTCTATTAACATTTGAATGCATAATCACTTCCCTAGGTGTATTATGCTGTTGGTGCTCTGTCTAAGGCAGTGTATGAGAAGATGTTCCTTTGGATGGTTGTCAGGATCAACCAATCTTTGGACACCAAGCAACCTCGCCAGTACTTCATTGGTGTGCTGGATATTGCTGGCTTTGAGATCTTTGATGTATGTTTTCTTATGCAGTAACTTGCTCTTATAATGCCAAAGATTATTTTACCAGGAGTGAATCAACATAAAGAATAATGTGCATTTCCCTTAACAGTTCAACACCTTTGAGCAGCTGTGCATCAATTTCACTAATGAGAAGTTGCAGCAGTTTTTCAACCACCACATGTTTGTGCTGGAGCAAGAAGAGTACAAGAAGGAGGGCATTGAATGGACATTCATTGACTTTGGCATGGACTTACAAGCCTGTATTGATCTCATTGAAAAGGTCAGTAAGCCTAAAGTCCTCAATATGGACACAGCATGTTCATGTGCCATTTCTAAATACTGTTATTTCTCTCTATAGCCCATGGGTATCATGTCCATCCTTGAAGAGGAGTGCATGTTCCCCAAGGCCACTGATTCCACATTTAAAGCTAAGCTTTATGATAATCACTTGGGAAAATCAGCTAACTTCCAGAAGCCCAGGATTGTGAAGGGTAAACCAGAGGCCCACTTCTCCTTGATTCATTATGCTGGCACTGTTGACTATAACATCATCAACTGGCTGGTGAAGAACAAGGATCCCCTCAATGAAACTGTTGTGGGGTTGTATCAGAAGTCCACCATGAAACTGTTGGCTCTTCTGTTTGCAAATTATGCCAGTGCTGATTCAGGTATGTGAACTAGATGAGGAATGTCTTACAATATTTCAGGAACAAACACTTAGGGTTTTATTCTCAGAAGACAAAGGTATTTAATCATCACGTATTGTATCTTAACAGTCACGGAAGGTGGAGGAAAAGCAAAGGAAAAGAAGAAAAAGGGATCTTCTTTCCAGACTGTATCTGCCCTTCACAGGGTGAGACAAAGAGTTTGCAGAAAACTATGTATATGTAACTATGTATATGCCAACTCAAACATTGGCAATGTTATGCCTATAAAAACAGCCAAAAAGAGATCTGTGATATTTTTTTGTAGAAGGGGTTATGTAGAGTACATAGGGGTGGGAATCTCTAGGCACCTCAGGATTCGATTACGATTCAGAGGGCTGCGATGTGATTATAAAACGATTATCGATGCATCTCGATGCATCTTTTTTTTCTATATAGCATTTATATTTTCTCACTGTGAGCTCAAGTTTCAAGTTTATTTGTCATTTGCACAACATGTCAGGACATTTATGCATTGAAATGCTTGTGGAGAGGCTCAGCTAATCACTCTACAGAAAGTAAATAAGTAAAAATAAAAATACAAGAAAAACCAACTGAAATATATTAAATATACACAAAATATACACAGAATATAGAGACAATATACATTTTAAAGTGACTAAGTGACTCGGTGTTATTGTTATTTAAAGTGACTTCGTACTTTTTAAGCAAAGTATTTGTAATGATCCATAATGAATTTACTTCCAATATCTTTTTTAATAAAACAAATGGGAGTAATGTGGTAAGTGAACTAGACGGCTCTCATTCAGTGCTCTTGTTTGGAGCACGAGAAGCTGCTGCCACTCATCTGCGATAAAATGCGCAGTTACGGTGAAATAAGACCCAGAGGCAGTGGATGTCCACGCAGCACATGTTACAGCTATTCTACCCGTTTTCTTTAGTGATTTTATAACTTCGGTTTTGGTCTCGTTATAGAGACGGGGGGATCGCTGTGTCAGTAAAATATGCCTGAGACGGGACGTGTGCAACATAGCGCAAAAGCCCTGTTTCGCAACGACTGAGAACCGGCGTGCAGACTGCAGGTCACATAGCAGCGATGCGTTATTCCCATTTATAAGCAGCGCAGTTGGTTTCCTGGTACGTTAAATCTGCAACAAGAGACTGTCACACACTAAAAAGTGGCAAAGCTGAAGTCAGCACTCTTTCGAATTCTCCTGTTCCACCTTAAATGGTGGCGCATTTACATTCGGCGCCTCAGTTACAATTTAAGGTGGAACGGGTAAATTCGAACAAGAAGCTGGAGAATAAGAAGCGACTTCAGCCTCGTAAAACAGTCGAACGTTGAGAGACACTTAACTGATCTACTTCTGAGGAAAAGTTTTCTGCCGGAGGAGGAAAGCGGCTACAGCTGAAGCTTAAAGCAGAGCGAAGTAAATCTACATTTTCGTTTATATTGTTTAGCCTATACTAGGACATTAACATATACTGAGACATACTGGACATTAAATGTTGTGGCTCCCAAGGTGGTTTGATTTTTGTTGAAAGGACAAAATGTTAACATTTGTGTTGTGACTCCTGACTGAACCTGGCTTTTAATGCAGAGGGAGCCGGTCGGATTTCTCGCTCTTCCACTTGTGTTTTTCTTACTGTCCGGGCGCTGCACTTCCGCACTTCCAAGTTCCACCCTTTGCGTTCCGTCAACATTATGTTATAAATTAACTATTTAGAAAATCGATTTTTGACATTTGTGAATCGATTCAGAATCGTCCATGTCCGCATCGCGATGCATCTAAGAATTGATTTTTTCCTGCACTCCTAACAGTACATATATAACAGTCAAAAAGGGAGAGATTTTCTGTTATGTAATGAAAGTCGTTTGATATATGTCATTCAGGCATATGCAAAAGTTTGAACACCCCTAGTAAAATACATGTTTTTATGTTCATGGAAAACCAACATTCTCTACAGACATCAAACCTATATATGCAATTTTTTTACTGCAGATTTCAGTGCACAATTTAATTTTAACATAGAAAATGTGTCAACTTTTTGCACTTTTCCCCCCTAAAAAGTTAAATTAATTTAATAAACAGTACCTTTGCGTTAAAATGTGCAGAAGTGTGCTAAGTGCGCTATAGAGGATGTGTAACTTTTCTTTCACTTAGAAAATCAACAGAACAAGTGATTTGATTAGGGGCACCAAAACTACTGTATATGTGGTCAAAGTCCATGTGTAATGTGCTGTGTTCCATCTTTAGGAGAATTTGAACAAGCTGATGACCAACCTGAGATCAACTCATCCTCATTTTGTGCGCTGTATCATCCCCAATGAGACCAAGACCCCTGGGGCCATGGAGAACCCTCTTGTCATGCACCAGCTGCGCTGTAACGGTGTGCTGGAAGGCATCAGAATCTGCAGAAAGGGCTTCCCCAACAGGATTCTGTACGGTGACTTTAAACAGAGGTAATGTGTCTGCATGTCATGAAACATCTTTTTCATCCTAGGTGTTTTAATCAAGTTAAATGCTTTATTGTGGAAATTGCAGATGGCTGAATAAGGTAGAATTCATACTTAATACTTGAATTCATATACTTACTCAGCATAACACAGCTTTTTTTTCAAAACTGACCCCGTTGCACAGCCGGAAATTGATTGAACAAGATCATGAATGTATCTTTTTATATTTTTTCATATACATAAACAGTCAAATAGACTACTTCATTTGCTACTCTATTTCAGTTGCATGTATTAATTTTATATAAAATCTATTAATTTCATGTAACATATTTTTCAAACAATCACAGGCAGTCTTACATGCTAAAAAGTCTCATTACAATAAGAATGATTCTAACAATTCCTTGAACTGTGCATCTGCAGATACCGTATTCTGAATCCTGCTGCTATTCCTGAAGGACAATTCATTGACAGTAGGAAGGGAGCTGAGAAACTGTTGGGTTCTTTGGACATTGACCATAATCAGTACAAGTTTGGACATACTAAGGTTCTATTGTTGCAAGTTTACTGCATTAATTTAAAGCTTATGTTACTCAGGAAAAAAATGTGCACATACACATATACTGAAATATTATCTGCTATTTTTCTAGGTATTCTTCAAAGCTGGTCTTCTAGGTCTTCTTGAAGAGATGCGAGACGATCGTCTAGCTCTCATCATCACTCGTATTCAGGCTTGGTCTCGAGGTCTTCTCTCGAGAATTGAGTTCCAGAAGATTGTTGAGCGCAGGTAAAACTCTACAGCTAAGTGCATGCTTCATTAATAAGCCTGAATTTTCAAGTCTTGGAGCCACTCCAGATGCCCTGACAATCTGAAGCATACATATATATTATAACTACTGGCACAAAATCTTGTAGCATAAACAATGCATGACAAGTAGTGAGAGCATCCATGAATGATAAGACCATGTGGAGAAACTAGAGGGATGAAGCCAAAAAACTACAAAACAACAATCGTCACTTCCTAGAAGGCCTCTGTACAGTCAGTGTATACCCAACCAAATGGAGGGGAAGCTCCATTCTGGCTAAAGTGTGAATGCTTATGTAATTTCTCCTCTGAAATTATAACAATCATGTTGAGACAGAGATGGGGAAACACTGACATTGCCATACAAATGATACAGTGATTTAAGTCATATAGTGTGGAGTCAGCCTTTACTTTTTAAATATTGTGAAAACCATTTTGAATACTTATCTTAAAATCTGAATACGCTAACATTCTAATAGCTTAAATAAAATATATTCACAGAACTTTTATAACAATGTGTTATCACATGGCAGGGATGCCTTGCTTGTTATCCAGTGGAATGTCCGTGCCTTCATGGGTGTAAAGAACTGGCCCTGGATGAAGCTGTACTTCAAGATCAAGCCACTGCTAAGATCTGCTGAGGCTGAGAAAGAGATGGCCAACATGAAGGAGGAATTCATGAAGCTGAAAGAGGCTTATGCTAAATGCGAAGCCCGCAGGAAGGAACTAGAAGAGAAAATGGTCACTCTCCTCCAAGAGAAAAACGACCTACAGCTCCAAGTCCAGACTGTGAGTTTATGGTTTGTAATATCATAATGGAGCAGTCTTTTCCAAAAGATTATAGAAAACACTAATTTATTTTCTATTTTTTGCTCTTTCTATTTTAAAACAGGAGCAAGACAATCTCTGTGATGCTGAAGAGCGTTGTGAAGGTCTGATTAAGAACAAGATCCAGCTTGAAGCCAAATGCAAAGAGCTGACTGAAAGACTAGAGGATGAAGAAGAGATGAATGCTGAACTAACTTCTAAAAAGAGAAAGCTGGAGGATGAATGCTCTGAGCTTAAGAAGGATATTGATGATCTTGAACTTACTCTGGCCAAAGTGGAGAAAGAGAAGCATGCCACTGAGAATAAGGTTTGTCGGGTCTCCGCTAAAAGTGACATTAGTACAATTGCTTTTGGTAACATTCAGCATACGTTTCCTATTCACAGGTTAAAAACCTAACTGAAGAGATGGCAGCACAGGATGAAATCATTGCTAAGCTGACCAAAGAAAAGAAAGCTCTGCAGGAAGCCCACCAGCAAACACTGGACGACCTCCAGAGTGAGGAAGACAAAGTTAACACTCTGACTAAGGCCAAAGCCAAGCTGGAGCAGCAAGTTGATGATGTCAGTAACTGGTTAAACATATATACTTACACTGTAGAGACACCTTGTAGTGAACTGGATTTTAAGCTCTGTATAATTTTCTTGGTAGCTGGAAGGATCTTTGGAACAGGAAAAAAAGCTGCGCATGGACCTCGAGAGGGCTAAGAGGAAGCTGGAAGGGGACTTAAAATTGACCCAAGAGAATGTTATGGACCTGGAAAATGACAAGCAACAGCTAGAAGAGAGACTAAAAAAGTAAGTGTAATAAAAAAAATGTTTTTGTATGAATGATCACTAATTCACTTGTAAGATCTTCACTCACTGCATTTTTGCCACAGGAAAGATTTCGAGATCAGCCAGCTCAACGGTAAGATTGAAGATGAGCAAGCACTAGCAGCCCAGTTACAGAAGAAACTGAAAGAGCTGCAGGTGAGGTGCAAAACACCTACGCTGATTGAAAGTTTATAGCTGATTTGTTCAACAAGAGTCTGTATTGCTCACATTGTACTTGATGTGGTAGGCCCGTATTGAGGAACTTGAAGAAGAGCTGGAGGCAGAGAGAGCCGCCAGGGCCAAGGTTGAGAAACAGAGGGCAGACTTATCAAGAGAATTGGAAGAGATCAGTGAGAGGCTGGAGGAGGCTGGTGGAGCCACTGCTGCCCAGATAGAAATGAACAAGAAGAGAGAGGCTGAGTTCCAGAAACTGCGCAGAGACCTTGAAGAGGCCACTCTCCAACATGAAGCCACTGCTTCTACACTGAGGAAGAAAAATGCTGACAGTGTGGCGGATCTGGGAGAACAGATTGACAACCTTCAGCGTGTGAAGCAGAAGCTTGAAAAAGAGAAGAGTGAACTCAGACTTGAGCTGGATGATGTGGTTTCCAACATGGAGCAAATTGTCAAGTCCAAGGTAAGCATAATGGTCTTTTTCATATATGTTTATCTTTACTATTGCATTTTTAATGTATATTCTCTGTTTCAGACAAATTTGGAAAAAATGTGCAGGACTCTAGAGGACCAGATGACTGAGTACAGAAATAAATATGAGGAAGGACAACGCAGCATCAATGACTTGAGCATGCACAAAGCTAAACTCCAAACTGAGAATGGTAAGGACTAAAATAAAAAGTGTGTATTAAACATAAGGTCACAACATACAAACATTTGAAGTACTGTAATCAACCTGTAATCAAGGTGAACTTGCAAGACAGCTGGAGGAGAAGGATTCCTTGGTCTCTCAGCTGACCAGAGGCAAGCAGTCCTATACGCAACAGATTGAGGACCTCAAGAGACAACTTGAAGAGGAAGTGAAGGTATTTCTAGTATTTGAGTTACCAAATCATTTAACCTGGCAATACATTATGTGATCATATGCAGTGAACAAGATATTGGCCTGTCTCTTACAGGCTAAGAATGCCCTGGCCCATGCAGTGCAGTCTGCTCGCCATGACGCTGAATTGTTGAGAGAGCAGTATGAGGAGGAGCAGGAGGCCAAGGCTGAGCTGCAGCGCAGTCTGTCCAAGGCCAACTCTGAAGTGGCTCAGTGGAGAACCAAGTATGAAACTGATGCCATCCAGAGAACAGAGGAGCTGGAGGATGCAAAGTAAGAAATCACACATCCAGTGACTTTTCATTTTTTCCTTTTAGCACTTCATCTTTACTATGGAGCATAATACTTTTCTTTTTTGTTTTTGAAATTAAAAGCTTTATTCACATTTTCTGAAACTTTTACCATCCTGTCACACAGGAAAAAACTTGCTCAGCGTCTGCAAGATGCAGAGGAAGCTGTGGAAGCTGTCAATGCCAAATGCTCCTCTCTGGAGAAGACCAAGCACAGACTCCAGAATGAAATAGAAGACCTCATGGTTGATGTAGAAAGATCCAATGCTGCTGCTGCAGCTCTGGACAAGAAGCAAAGAAACTTTGACAAGGTGATAAGGTGGTCCCTTGGGGATCAATAAAGTACAGCCATTCATACATCTATCTGTCCATACCCTTATCCATCTATCTAGTCATCTGTCTGTCTGTCTAACATTTGGCAGTGCCCTTAGTTCAAAGGCCACTTATCCCAAACATGTTTTTGTTGGAATTGAACAGGTTCTTGCAGAGTGGAAGCAGAAATATGAAGAATCTCAGAGTGAGCTAGAGAGCTCCCAGAAGGAGGCCAGATCTCTTAGCACTGAACTCTTCAAACTGAAGAACTCTTATGAGGAGTCTCTTGATCACCTGGAGACTATGAAGAGGGAGAACAAAAACCTCCAAGGTATCCATGTTTATTTCAAAGGTCTCAAACAGTGGTGGGGTTTTTAGCATACACTGACAGGTATCTTTCCTGACAAACAGAGGAAATTTCTGACCTGACTGAGCAAATTGGGGAGAGTGGAAAAAGCATCCATGAACTGGAGAAAATTCGTAAACAGCTGGAGCAGGAAAAGGCCGAAATCCAGTCTGCTCTTGAAGAGGCTGAGGTACCTATTTGCAGACCTTTCAGATTCTGCAAGTACAGACATGGATCCCATCTACATAAAATCTCAATGATGATGTAATAAAATTACATTGTAAATGTTTGTTGTGATCTAATAGGCCTCCCTTGAGCATGAAGAAGGAAAGATTTTGCGGGCTCAGCTGGAGTTCAATCAAGTGAAGGCTGATATTGAGCGAAAGCTGGCGGAGAAGGATGAGGAGATGGAGCAGTCCAAGAGGAATCACCAGAGAGTGGTGGACACCCTACAAAGCTCTCTGGAGTCTGAGACTCGCAGCAGGAATGAAGCCCTCAGGATAAAGAAGAAGATGGAGGGAGACCTTAATGAGATGGAGATCCAGCTCAACCAGGCTAACAGGCAGGCAGCAGAGGCACAGAAGCAACTCAAGGGTCTCCATGGGCATCTGAAGGTATGCACCACATAGCGTAATGTCTGTGTTCATGTTAATATCAATGTCTCTCATTATTTGTGATATTATAAAATGTATTCATTGGGAGCTTTTGCCTTCTAGGATGCCCAGCTCCAGCTGGATGATGCTCTCCGTGGTAATGATGATCTCAAAGAGAACATCGCTATTGTGGAGAGACGCAACAATCTGCTGCAGGCTGAACTGGATGAGCTGAGATCAACATTGGAGCAGACTGAGAGAGGCCGGAAACTGGCAGAGCAGGAACTTCTGGACGTCAGTGAGAGGGTTCAGCTGCTGCACTCTCAGGTAATCTATAGATTTCAATTATTGCTATAATGAAAGATCTATTATTAAGTTACAGATTCAATATAAGCACCAACAATCTCTAATACAGAACACCAGCCTGCTGAACCAGAAGAAGAAACTGGAGGGAGACACAACTCAACTTCAAAGTGAGGTAGAGGAGGCTGTCCAAGAGTGCAGGAATGCTGAGGAAAAGGCCAAAAAAGCCATCACTGATGCTGCCATGATGGCAGAGGAGCTGAAGAAGGAGCAGGACACCAGTGCTCACTTGGAGCGTATGAAGAAAAACATGGAGCAGACCATCAAGGACTTACAGCATCGTCTAGATGAAGCTGAACAAATTGCAATGAAAGGTGGCAAGAAGCAGCTCCAGAAACTAGAGGCCAGAGTGAGTAAATAAAATTGCTTTATATACATTGTATACTTTTAAATACATTAGATAAATATACATTATATACATTTTATATGTTCCTTTGCAGGTCAGGGAGCTGGAAAATGAGGTTGAGATAGAACAGAGAAAGGCCAGTGAATCTATAAAAGGAATCCGCAAATATGAGAGACGCATTAAGGAGCTCACCTACCAGGTTTTTCTACTTTTTAACAAGCTTTGTCGTTTTGAAAATATATATAAATGATAGAAATGAGAAAAGACTGTTCCCATGATTCTATTTGCAGACTGAAGAAGACCGTAAGAATCTGACTCGTCTCCAAGACCTAGTAGACAAACTTCAGCTGAAAGTCAAGTCCTATAAGAGAGCTGCAGAAGAGGCTGTAAGTGTATAATATTACTTATGCATACAGAGGGGGCACAATGAACTTTTTTGACTCATCTGCCAGTGAGAGGAAAACTGAGTAAATGTATCTGTCCAAATTACAAAACATTTTAATGGTCATAAAATTGCATTCTTTTTATAAAAACAATTAGCTGAAGGGCTTTTTTTAGCAAGCTTAAGCTTATCTTTAAAGTTTACCTTTAAACTAACTTTGCAGACCAAATTATGAACAGATACGTTATAGTTTTTATTTTAACTTCACTAAAATGCCACTTCACACAAAAATGTCAAGCCCCTCAGTGACTTTATCTTCAACATTAGCACATAAAAATAAATCTGTTATTTTATGACAGAAAATACCTTTTAGTCTGAGGGAAATGACCAGTTACACTAAAGTTTTCCAATGTGGCAAAAGTCATGAGAATCTGCACAACAGCTAATCAATGGCATATTCTTTAGTAGGCTGCATGTATTTCTTTGATCCTTGTGTACTTTCAGTGGGTATGATCCAGTGGGTCATATCAGTCTACACAGTAATTCATGCCTTGAATTATGTTGCAGTTTGTAAGTGCTGGCCTGTGACTGCATTTTTTTTTAACGCAAATGTTTTTCTTGTATTTCCATCGTAGTAAATGTATCAATGTGTCATATTTTTGGATTTTGTATGTGTGTACTCATTTTTCAGGAGGAGCAGGCCAATGTCCATCTAGGCAAGTTCCGCAAGCTGCAACATGAGCTGGATGAGGCACAAGAGAGAGCTGATATTGCAGAGTCTCAGGTCAACAAGCTGAGAGCCAAAAGTCGCGATACAACTAAAGTAAGTTCACTCATTAGCACAACTTTCCTATTTATTTTTCTATAAGCACACTAATAATGACTTTGCTTAATGCTATTGTTTTTGTATCACATACTCTGGGTAATATTGCTCTCCTAGTGGCAAAAATATTTTGTTTTGATGCTAAATACAAACAAAGTTATGGATTTTAAATATTACATAATCAATTGACAATCCTTAACAACCACTCGAAGACACTTGTGGATATTCAGAGGTTCTACAGTTGTTCAGTTAAAATTATTTTAAATATTTCACTTAGATCGGTAGCGCATGGTATAGAGACAACCATTTTTTCTAAAATTACCTCACTAAATCAAGGCTATAGACTGAGAAAGAAAGAGCCTGGTCTAGTTAACTAAGAACTTCCTACACCTACTGTCTTTTTTCTGTCTTTTCCTCTCACAGAAAGGACATGATGAAGAGTGAAGTAACCACTTTTGTGTCTCAGAAATCTCAGATCACTGTGGCTTAGTTCTTCTCCTTGACTTCAGCATCTGTAGGTGAATAGAATAAAAATTACTGTGCAAATAAACCTTTTGTTTTGCTGTTTCTTCTGTTTTAACAATGCAGTGTTACTGATTTTGATTTAGCTAAGAGCAATAAGATGTGAGCAGAAAATGTATATCAGATAAAAAAAACAAGAATTGTTACAAAAGTGAAAGAAGGGTTGAAAATACTTAACAAATAAGCTCATCAGTAGAGCTCTGGACAAAAGCCTTTGAACCTTTATCTGCCTTTTTTTATATACATTTGTAAACACTGGAAGAAAATGTTAAACTCACTTATGTTACAAACAAAATGACAGAAAACATGCAGATGGCATCAAAAAATACAAATGCAAGCATGCAGGTTAGTCAGCAAAGTAAAGAGTGGCAAAATGAAAACAGTATGAAAATCTAAAATTCTCAATCACAATTCTATTAGTAGAGAACAAAGGCATCTAAAAGTCGACATAACCCCACTTGAGGTAGAACAAAGCACAAACGTTTTTTAATATAACTTTGATAACTGCTAGTTTGTGAAATGAATGGTTATATAAAATATTTTACTGCAAAAGTTGTGTAATTCATTAATATTTGGATGCTCCCCAAAACCAGACAACGTGCAAATTTAGGCCTGGCTTAAAGGGAGAGTGTCTGCATTATCCCTTCTATTTCAGAAAATAAAATTCACAATGTGGCCAACTTTAAAAAGACAAACAGATACTCTATATTCTAAAGAAATGATAACACCAATAACTTTATCCATTGTCTAAAAAAAGGCCCTTAAAAAATTGTGTGCCAAACATTCTATATTAAAACTGTAATGCATACTTTCATGCCATGAACATAATAATGATGCCAAACACAAAGAAATGTTATTATTTTGTACTAGACCTTGTTTTCTGATTATAACAACAGTTTTTTGGATTATACAGTTCATCATCACACAGTAACAGCCCTTAATTCCTTCTCAGAACTAATGTGCACTGACCCAGAAAAATATCATATGAGTCTACCAGTTGAAAGGTTTAACACAAAACATAGACTAACACAAATCCTTGAAACAATTATAATTCCAGGATTTATGACAATACAATAAAATAATAATTCCTAATCATTCAGTACATTCTGTGAAAAATAATAAATGATAATACTAACTAAATGAAGTGAAATATATTAAATACAAAAAATACAAAATTACAATCAAATAAAAATCATTTCACATTTCAGCATCAAACATCAGCATAAAGTAGTCATTTAATTTATGAATGTGTTAAACTATTTAACATTATTCTTGTTAATTTTTTAAACAATTCTAAAGCCAAACATGTGTCACTGCGGTGGTCTGAATGGACCGCCACCTAAATAATATCTGGTCAGAACGTGATTCTATGGTCCATTGATGGCTTTGGCAGTGGAGGGTTGGGTAGGGGTGCCTGATAAAAGTACTACATGGCAAAAGTATGTGGACATCCATAATTAGTGAGTTTGGCTATTTAAGCCACACCTGTTACTAACAGATGTATAAAATCAAGCACATATCCATCCAGTCTCCACAGACAAACATTCTAAGTAGAATGGGTCATACTCAAGAGCTGAGTAACCTTTAAAGTGAAACTGTCATAAAATGTCTTTTCATCAAGTTTGTCTGTCAAATTTCTGCCCTGCTAGAGCTGCCCCAGCCAACTGTCAGCGCTGTTACTGTGAAGTGGAAAGGTCTACAAGCAAAACAACAGCTCAGTGGTGGGGTGCACAAGTGTACAGGACAGGACTGCAGAGTACTGAGGCATGGAAAAATTGTCTTACAGAGTTCCAAACCACTACAGGAAGCAACTTTAGCACAAGAACTATTTGTTAGGAGCTTCATGGATGGTTTCTGTAATGACTACTGTAGCATAGCAGCAGAACATAAGCCTAAGATGGCCATGCGTAATGGGGAACATCAGCTGGAGTGGTGTAAAGCATGTCACGACTGGACTCTGGAGCAATGGAAATTCATTTTCTAAAGTGATGAATCATGCATCACCATCTTGCACTCTGACAGATTAATTCGGGTTTGGTGGATGCACAAGAACAGTGCCAACTGCAAAGTTTGGTGGAGGAGGAATAACTGCCTGGAATTTTTTCATGGTTGTAGCCTCTTATTTCCAGTGGAGGGAAATTTTGATGTTATAAATTAAAATATTAGAGAAACTATGTGTTTCCAGTTTATGCCAACCTTGCCCACTTTATATTATTTCTGAATTCCCTAGAATAACAAAATCTTATACAATAATAATAAGAATAATAAGCTTGTTTTCAAACAATCTATCAATAATCTATGATTTATTATTCAGAAGCACTTCTAATTAGAGGCAATATAAAATTAGTTATTGTTAGTAAATAGATTCAATAAGTAAGATATAGTTTCTCCCCATCAAAGAAAATGTCTTAATTAGTCGGATCAAAGCAAAGTCAGGCACACAAATAAGAATAACCCTTATTTGACCAAATTCCCTGGAAAGATAGAAATGAATAAATAACAGAAAATAGTGTTAAAATTATGCTATATATATATATACACTAATGAGCTAAAATTTGGACCACCTTCCTAACATGCTGTTCGTCCTCCCTGTGCCATAATTTAAGAAATTTTCATGATACACGATATTTATTCTTTCAGACATCTGATCAGTTCGAACAGAGAAAAAATAACCATCAGTGCCACGCTTGAAACCATACATACTATCAAAAACTGTGAACACAATGATTTTACTCAATATTTGCCATACTGTGTTGCACTAAATCCAGTTAAACAGGACTAATTCTGCTCTCTTTATACTGAAACAAGTATTCAGGAATTTTATGTAACATATTAATACGTAAAAAAGCATATTGTATTGTGACATAATTTATCACAATAACGACATATATTGTCAGTCCCACATATATATATAATAATAATAATTCAGTTACAGTAAAACCGATTTAGGTTTCTACAATAATCAGCATTACTAGCCAATACTAGTTACCTAATTAATTAGTAAATTAGATCTAGATCTAGAAAAATTTGGTTGTTGCTAAGCAACCTTTTTGTTTTTGTTTTTTCATTTCATTCTTCCTAGATAAATTGAGGCAAAATATCAACGTGGCTATTTTTCATTCAAAAAGGCAATGTCTGCAAATGGAACAGTAAAATACTGTTGTACAAGAACGAAGAATTGACTTCATAAAACATACACTTTCTTCATTTTTGTATAATTTTGTTGGTGTTCATGAACAAAAATGTATTTGCCTTCAAAATATTATTTAACATTATTTATTTTAGTACCATTTCTCATCACTTTTCAACATTTCCTGAAAATTGTAGAAGTTAGACAATCTTGAGCATTTTACTCAACTCTCAAACTTCAGCAATGCAAGTCATAAAGCAGCAGCGCAACTGATTACTAAAAAACATGCACTTCCACAGTCCTCTACAGGAATGTAAATCAGCCCTTAATTACAGCAGATCGAAGGTGTTAGAAATGGCTGAATACATAATAATGGTATAAGATCATTAGTTAACATAGTAATAAGGTTAATAAGTTAATGTTTATAAAAGTGTCCCATTACCTGTATTCATCCAAATGCATCTTATTAAAATGGAAAGAAGGAACACCTACCTCATAAAATAAAGAGCTTAGGAGTGTCTATGAGTGCTCTGTTGGTGGGTGGGTAGACACGTACCATAAAAGGCATGATGCACCTTTGCTGGCCAACGTAGGTCTCCACAGACAACTTTCTCCAGGTTATCTTACTCTGTGGATGGAAGATGCAACATTTCTGTTAGTTCGCCATCTGTATATCCTGAAATACATAAATATGAAAAAAACACAGGCAAATGAACTTAGATGTTACAAAATCTCTGTAACAATATGTGCTTTACAACATGTGAACTGGTTATTTGACAGTTGGCTCATCTACTTACAAAAATGACAGAGTTCCTCCTTTCAACTGCAAAGGGCCCTTATCTGCAAAGAAAGCAGACACACAGACTTGTTGGATGCCCTGAAGGCTACTGTAGGCTGACCTGCTTTGGTGTGGCTCAAGGTGATGAGAAGGCCAGCAGGATGGTGTTGATTAGAGGAGGAGTCTACATTGAGCAGCTGAGAATTGGAGGACGTTAAAAGGTTCACCAAGCATCCAGCAACCCTGCAACCTTAAACCACACCACAGAGTACTTGGGCTATATTAGGAGTTCAATTGTTGGCTGAGGGGCCCACAAGGTCTGTGAAGTGCCAAAGAGGCTTTAGAGAAAGAATCATCTTTAAGTGATGGAGAAATAAGAACCGACTGGCATTTATGTCAAACTTCAACTTCTTATCTTAGAAAGACAAGTTACCTCAGCATCTATTTTGTCTCATCAAATGTATAAAAAGGTGCACATAGTACAAATACATATTCATACAAGTACTGTAGGAGCTATAGTTACTATGTAGATTACTGTCCAAGTTTTCCTTGTTCCCTGTATTTAGACAAAACAAAATAATTTAAACACAATTGTATTAATGTAAATGTTTTCTTAACTGCATCTTTACCATTCCAACCTATTTAGATGATTGAGTAGGCTAATATTATAAACTTAACTTCTGACAGGAGCTGCATTGTTTTCCCTCAATTGGCCATGTAACGTAAGACAAGTCTATAGTCTATAAAGATCATAAGAGTGCCAACATCTATGACTAGATACTTTTATTTATGTGGTTGGAGACCTTTACAAGCGGAGCATCTGTCCTACAGGGCCCATGCAAGCTTCTCAATCAGAGAGAGGAACTCAACAGGAATTTCACAGGGTTATCTTTGTACTCAAGGACAATGGGAAGGAAACATTGTGGCGTAAACAAGACTGTGGCAGTGGTATGTCCTTTTTTGTCTGCCAACAGATATTCATACACATATGTATTAATACATATATATTTTAGAATATAGCTTGTAACTTCTGAGGATTATTCAAAGAAATTAAGTAAATTAATAACACATCAAAATGTTTTCTCTCTGCAGTCTCAGTAACAACATCACATATTGTTTTGGAAATACTACAATGCTCCCTATACCTTCAGATTAGACAACAAGGTTATACATGAACGTGATTTGATCTCAAGTCTTTCTACCATTTCTCTGTGCTGAATCACTACATTGTGTCTGGTGGCAACAAACCCCCAGGGCAATCAAAATCTGCTTTCTGAAATTACTGACAATATTCACACATAACCTCATTATTATAAACTGAGTCTGCTGAGTGAGTCTTATTTCAAAGACCTTTACGTACCCCAGTCTAGAGTTCAGGGGTTAGACATTTAACACCTTTCCGTTGTGGTGGTAGGTTACACCGTGAAAGAGAGAGGGAATGCACACGTAATTCACACTTCTTGCAGTCGACTTCAAGAGTTTCTTAACCCTTCAACAGTTCACACTTAGCATGCCTTGCTGTTAATCTTCTAACCATTTACCACCCTGTAGTGTTGATGCGTGCAACACACTCAAGAGTCTAAAGAGAAAAGGTCTGCATCTCAGCCCTTTGTGATACAAGGAGCTGTTAAAAGAGGCAGTCATAACAAATCAAATCTTCCTTGACAGCCTTGTATTGATGCATTCTGACAAAATCTCACAAGAAAAACACCACCATAACTAATTTACATCATTCATGCTTGTCATGATGCATAAGATATATACAGTCGCCTGCAAAAGTTTGCATGCCCCTGGTCAAATGACAGTTTGTTGATTTTCTAAGTGAAAACAAATTAACATTTTTGACAGAGAACACACAGCTGCATATTTAAATTCCCAATAACTGGTTATTTGGTGAATTTAACATATTGGAAAAATATAAAACATAAAATGTGGCCTGTGCAGAGATTCTGTCACAATTTATGTTGTATGTTGTAAAATTTTCAGATTTGAAGAAAAATTTAAGTTTGTTCCTTGTAGTGGATGTGTTAACTTACTGTCATTTAGATAATCAACAAAACATGTAATTTGTCAGGGAGTTCAAACTTTTACATGCGATTGTAAGGGTCATCCAAATAAGCACCCTAACTACGAAGAAACCTTTTGATACAAACACACACACACACACATTTTCTAGGCTGCTTATCCTCCTGGGTCACGGGTGACTTTTTGATAAATGTAAAACATTGAATCAAGCAGTTCTGTGAGTAAAATATTTGCCCTTGTGAACAGCATCTCTAGAATAAAGGTCATACGCTCAAAAAGACAATGCATAAATGGATGGGGTCAGATCGTACATGCTGTTCTTCTCAATCACCGAAAAGCACTTGGCATGAATTTCACTTGGTTATCTTTGTCCTCAAGTGTAAAGGCAAGGAAACAATGCCGTTTCAACGCCACGGGGCAGAGTGAAGCATTCACACCAGCTGGGGAATGACCTTGGTTGTGCTTTACCACTCAGAGACAGACAGCTGATGCTGCTCTCATACGGGCAAAAAGCACCTGTGACAGCTTGAATACACAGACACTTTGTTAATCCTTCAATCTAAATAAACATGGTATAGGATAACTCAAAGAGGTCAACTAAAAATAACTCCCATCACTTTTTGCTACTTTTCTCCTTTAGTTTTCTTGAGGTAATCCACTTGGCTCCATACCGATTTCCTGGTTCTCAAATCCAATATATTCTATCAATATCCTAAAACAATATATCCATTTATAACTGCTAAAATCACTGCTACTTAAATTCTGAAATCACAGATTTAGTAACATTACATTTGAATACAAAATATTAACATACAGATAGCAAATGCATGCAATCCCCATTACTATCCATTTCAGACGTACTATCATGTCTCTGCATTTCTTTCCTCTTATGCATTACACAGTTGGCATGTGCATGGTTCTCTATTACCTCCCAGTGGACCCTTGCTGACATAAACTACAAGAACAAAAGAAACTGACCCCCCCACCATGCCGTCAGTAGTCGCACCAAACTGAGACACTACAATGCATCATATGGTGCCAGCAACCATATTTAGAGGACCCCTTGCATTATAAAAGGGCGAGAAGAGTGACAAACACAAGACTGGTTTTCAAGTGTGTCATCTATAGGTAAGCTGACAGGGAAGCCACAAACTCTCTAAACCCAAAGGGGAATGAAAAAACATTCTTGAGGATACTACTGATTTACAGCTGCAAAAGAATTTGTGCTTCATATGTAGTGTTAATAATGTTCATTTCATTTTAGAAATAATGCATGAGATTTTTAGGAGTACTGTATACTTTAGATGCATACTGAGCTGTAAAGGTTATGTGACATATACATTAAATTAAATGGTTTATATTTTCTGTTTGTGTGGCGTTAGGGCATTACACCATCACATTTCTGGAAAGGAGAAACAGCAGAAGTGAGTCACTTAAATGCTAGAATTGTCAAAGACAATTTTATAGATCCGTCTGTCCTCAGAATACACAATTTTGCTTTCTTCAGAAGAATATGTGGCTAATTTCATAACACTTAATAGTAGTGTAGTGTAATAATTCTTACAATAATCTCAGGGTGAAAGATGGGAGATGCTCAGATGGAGGAGTTTGGGGCTGCAGCCCCATTCCTGAGGAAGTCGGATAAGGAGCGTCTGGAAGCCCAAACTCGCCCCTTCGACATGAAGAAGGAATGCTTCGTCCCTGATCCAGAGGAGGAGTACATCAAGGCATCTATCATCGGTCGTGATGGTGACAAAGTCACTGCCGAAACATCTAAGGGAACGGTAAGGAAAATAAACAATCCTATAAGATATGATTGACACTTTAATTCAGTAAAATTATTCCTCCCTCACTCCTGAAACTAAATAGGCCATTTGTAACTGAAATGTAACTGCACAAAGGCTAAAGAGTTTTAAATAAATGCTTTAATAACATAGCAAATAACATTAACTAAATGAACAGTATTCACAAACTGAATGTAGGTGTGAAGTTTAATCTTAATTGAAAGGTTAAAAGCTTAATTGGTTAAATATATTCACATGGTCTCTATAATGTACAAGACTTTACAGGGATGTTGTGTTGAATCTGCTACACATATAAAATGTAACATACTTTTGTCCACAGACTGTGACTGTCAAGGAGGCTGATATTCACCCTCAAAACCCGCCAAAGTTCGATAAAATTGAGGACATGGCGATGTTCACCTTCCTGCACGAGCCTGCTGTGCTGTTTAACCTCAAAGAGCGTTACGCAGCCTGGATGATCTACGTGAGTTAGACACGTGTAGTTCTTGATCTATACAGCTCTTCTGTATGTGTGAAAAAATAGTGAACCTAGATTTCTCTCTCTGTTTGTAGACCTACTCTGGGCTTTTCTGTGTAACTGTCAACCCCTACAAGTGGCTGCCAGTGTACAACCAAGAAGTTGTCCTTGCCTACAGAGGGAAGAAGAGGAGTGAAGCTCCTCCTCACATCTTTTCTATCTCTGACAATGCCTACCAGTACATGCTTGCAGGTATTCATAAATTAATCAAAACAAGAACAAACACAGTTTGAGACCTTAAAAAAAATAAAGTATAAACTGCAACACTCCATTATCTCACAAAATAGTTCTTTTTAATCTTTAGTGTAATGGTTGTGGTTATAGTGATTCATCCTTTGTGAATTCAGTGACATTTATATACATACATATCTTTTATTTCAGATAGGGAAAACCAGTCTATTCTCATCACGTAAGTTTGTGTTTTATTACAGTAAGCTATATTTATCAATATATTTTGAATAGTTAATGAACATCTTCCTAAAATTACTCTATTACTATTGTTACAATTATTATTATTATAATATTATGACACATGTTCTGTATTGTACATAGTGGAGAATCTGGTGCTGGGAAAACTGTGAACACCAAGAGAGTCATCCAGTACTTTGCCAGCATTGCTGCTGGAGGTTTCAAGAGGGAAACCACTGATAAGAAGGTTGGAAAATCTATAGCTATTACATGGCTTCACTGGCCAATACATGGATAATTACTTTTCATAACAATATTTCCTTCTTGCTGTTTACCCAGGGTACTCTGGAGGATCAAATCATCCAGTGTAACCC